CTCATCCTCCGTTGTCCCTAACACTCCCTTAGAGCTGGATATTGAAACCCTAGTCATTTGTGTGTGTGTGTGTTAAGGCCATTTTGGTGTTCTTGGTTGGTTTGTGAAGCTTGGAAGGAGAGAGGAAGCTTGGGATTTCTAGTTGGGACTAGTAGATCCGTAGATCTTACTTCATCTTTAGCTTAAGCAAGGTAAATGCCCCTATTTTGGTCTTCCTTTTTAGTTGTTCATCTTTAGGGCTTAGGGTCATGGTGCATTTAGGGCTTCTTAAGCCATCTTCGGATTTGTAAGGTGATTCATGGGGTTCTACTTCCTGATCTTAGTCATTGGAGGGGTCTCATGGTATAAAGGTGCCAACTTTATGGCCATGAGAGCCCCATGCACATTGTAGAGCACCTTCTATGGACTTTTAAGCTAAAAACCCCATGCATGTGCATCAAGTTTGGAACTTTACGTATAAAATGGACATTAGGAGGCCATATCATTGGTTTTGGTGTGTTAAATCCCTTTTAGATCGATTTTATAGAAATGGTCAAGGTTGGACTCGGCGAGTCGTTCTTGGGACTCAGCGAGTCGGTGCGCTTTTAGCTTTCTGAAACCCTTCTGTGATGGTCAGTTGTTAGAAAAGGGAGTCCCATAGCTATTTAGATGTATTTGACTTAGCCTTAGACCTGGAGTTCATTGGACTCGACGAGTACATGAACAGACTCGACGAGTCCAAGGCAATCTCCCAGCACATGAAGATTAACTCGGCGAGTTGTTCATACAACTCGGTGAGTCAAGGACAAGGCTTGTTCTTCAGATGAAGATGAACTCAACGAGTTGTTCATACAACTCGGCGTGTCGGATGAAGGATCATTCGATGTTCGACTGGGAGGAGAACTCGTCGAGTCATTGCCTAACTTGACGAGTAGGGACGGGAATGAGGACAATTAGATGGTTAAGGACTCGACGAGTTGGCGGCCCAACTCGGTGAGTCAAGTTAGCTAGAAGTTGACTTTGGCTTAACTTTAACTAGGTCAGGGGTAGAATAGTCATTCCTCCATAAGAGTAGTTATCAGACTCTGATTCGGTGTTTGATGGGAATTATAGCTGGAGGATTTCCGAAGCAACAATGTCGGCCTACCAGTAAGTAGTTATGTATGAGATGATTGTCTTTGTGATAGTTATCTTGGTATATTAATTTGTTATGGTCACGAGACATGCCTGTATGATATGCTATGTGTGTAGAAGGGATTAGTTGTCCCTACCCAGTTATGCCTGACTGTATGATTATCTCTCGTTACGATATGCTAGTGCTAGGGGGTAAAATAGTCCACAGTTACCGGTTGAAAGACATCGATGGCGTGTACTGGTTGAAAGATACCGATGATGGTTACCTGTTGAAAAATACCGATGGCAGTTACCGGTTGAAAGATACCGATGGTGTTATGTGGTGTGTGGTATGATGGGGGAAATCACTAAGCTTTGTGCTTACAGTATTAGTTTTGGTTTCAAGTACCTCTTCATCCAAGGGGAAAGATCCGGCGGCACAACAACGCATCACACACATGGTTTCCGCATTGGATTTTCTGGGATTGTACTCTGATTTCATTATTCTTGATGATATGGTTTTCGAGTCATGATTTTCTGATTTTATGAATGATGAAATAGTGACAATGTTTTGGTAATATAAATTATGATTTACTTAATTTAAAAACAAAATTTTTGGGCCTCAAATTTTGGCGTGTTACATCAGGAACCGATCATAGCCATGAGGTGGCTTTCTGATGTGGAGGGATGTTTCTTTACCCATTCATGCTCTGATGAGTAGAAGGTCAGGTGTGCTTTGAACCTTCTGAGGTCCACAGACAAGGATTGGTAGAGGCTTGCTACTAGCTCCTACTCCGCTGACCAGAGGGTTGTTGTGTCTTGGGAGAAGTTCTCTGAGATGTTCCGCTCACGTTATGTGTCGCTGGTAGAGAGAGGGAGAGAGAGAGAGAGGGATAGATATTCGCAAAAGAATAAAGCACAAGACACTACTGATCTAAACTCTAAATCTACCGATTTACTCCATCAACCACCGATCTTCATCACTGGATGCCACTAGAAGCATCCTGCAACCAACATTTGTCATTGTTAGAAGGAGATATGAAGTAGTGAGGGATGGAGATCTGGTTCATGAGTTGCTTCTCTTCTTCTCGATGCCCCTATCTGGACATCTGACCATTGATTGCATCTGCTCCCTCCTTGCTCTTCCCTCTTCGCCATTGATTGCATTTGTCCTTCCTCGCTCATCCTATCCGCTATCAGTTTTGTAAAGGGTTTAGGGGTGGTGGTGGTTCACTTTACTTGTCTTCCTCCCTTATTGTCACTTGGCGGGGTTAACTTCCTAACACCGTAGTGGATCCCGGTGGTCATTGTTTCATGGTACTATGACAGTGGTAGCTTCATGGCGATGATGGCAGGAGATCTAGAAGCTTTTGGTTTTTAGTAGCGGTTTTCAGGAAACAAAGGGATAGATGTTTTCAAGGGAGGAGGTGTTTTCGGAAAGATAAGAGACAAGGATGGTGATGGTGCTGATTTTTTTTATTTGTCTGACGAAGCTTCCTCCAGTGGGAGGGCTTCAGAAGCGGCGGTGAATTAAAATGAGAAAGAAGTACATGAGAAGTGTGGGGTGTAGGGTTTTGGGTGGGTTCCATTTTAAGGTTATTTAATCATTTATATTCATTAATAATAAAAAAATGATAATAAAGAAAAAGCTCAAACAGATAAAGTCAAAGGACAATGTGGTCTTTTCATCTCTACTAGGGGATGAAAAACACAATAAAAACCAAAACCTAGGGACCATTCGAGTGCGAACGAAAACATAGGGACCAAATGTGAAATTTTTCAAACCACATAGATCATTCAATAATTTGTACTTTAGGATATGCATCGAGCGAATTACGAAAATTGATTGTTACATTTAGGATATGCATTATATAAATTACAAAAATTGTTTGTTTCATTTAGGATATGCATAAAGTAAATTACGAAAATTGTTTGTTTCTTTTAGGATATGCATCGAGTAAATTACGAAAATCGTTTGTTTCATTTATGATATGCATTATGTAAATAAAGAAAATTGTTTGTTTCATTTAGGATATGCATTATGTAAATTACGAAAAATCATTTGTTTCATATAGGATATATGTCGAGTTAATTACAAAAACCGTTTGCTTCATTTAGGCTATGCGTCGAGTAAATTACAAAAATTGTTTGTTTCATTTAGGATATGTATTATGTAAATTACGAAAACCATTTGTTTCATTTAGGATATACATTATGTAAATTACGAAAATTATTTGTTTCATTTGGGATATACATCGATTAAATTAGGAAAATCGTTTGTTTCATTAGGATATGCATTATGTCAATTACGAAAATTGTTTGGTTCATCTAGGATATGGATTATGTAAATTACAAAAATCGTTTGTTCTATTTAGAATATGCATTATGTAAATTACGAAAATCATTTGTTTCATTTAGGATATACGCCAAGTAAATTACGAAAATCATTTGTTTCATTTAGGATATGCATCGAGTAAATTACAAAAATTGTTTGTTTCATTTAGGATATGCATTGTGTAAATTATGAAAATCGTTTGTTCCATTTAGGATATGCATTGAGTAAATTACAAAAATCATTTTTTTTCATTTAGTATATATATTTTTTTGATGTGTGTGTTTTTTGAAATTCTATTAAAGTTAATATTTTTACTTTTTTTGTATAGAAATCGAGAATGTACTTGAACCTGTATTTTATGATATTACACCTTAAGATCCTGATTTTCTGAGCGGATGAAGTTGGGGCAATATATGTCAAATTGAGTTAACACTATTGTAAAGTAAGTGGTTCACATTTTTCAGCCCTAATTTCATGTAGTAACATTTATGCTGATGCATGTAACTGCTAGAAGAAAACAAACAACATAGGTTTTATCTTTTCAACTTCCATATACTAGTATGATGTTGCTTTACAAATAAACCATATGCATTTGACACCGGTTCTTTATGTTTATGTTTTTGTAAGTATACATAATCACATGAAATATTTTCTTCTTTGTCCTCCTAATTTAAATGCAACTTCTATCATAATCTAAAAAAGTCTACTTTCATACTGTTGCAAACTTAGATTCATGGAATTTGGGAGGCCCGACACTTTAAGTGATTGCAAGTGTTAAAGTGAAAGTCTTTTTTGTTATTATTAAAAAAAATATATTATATATATATATATATATATATATATATATATATATATATATATATATTATTTTGAATATTTGGACAATTACTTCTATGGAATTTTTAATGGTAATTTTTTTTTATAATTTTTTTGTTATTATTTAAAAAAAACTTTATATAAGTAGAGATAAAGAGGTTTTTTTTTTTTTTTTTTTTTTTTTTTTTTTTTTTTTAAATACACTCCAAGCATTTACTAAACTTCAACATTTTAATCATTTATAGATGTTTTCTATTTTAAACCTTACATTTAATAATAACTTACACTCTACTTATATTTAAATGTTTAAATTTTAGAATTTTGTGATAATTTAGTCTATTCAACTTAATACATATTATTGAAATTTTATATCGTTAAAAAATTATCTTTAAACTTCTAAATACACAAATATCAAATATTAATAATATTATTATCATATTATCTTATAAGATTTTTATTTAAATAAATATTAATTTCAACTAATACAATTTTTGAAAATATGATACATTATGAGTATAGTTTATAAAATGTTTGCCACTTCCAAATAACCAGCAACTATGTCTTTCAAATTTACAACACAAATCTTGAGACACATAGTTTCATTTGACCCTCACATTTATAATAAAAAAAAATACATAATCAAATTTGGAATAAGTTTTATTTATTGGAAGGTTTTTTCATCTGTCTAATACAAATAACAATGCAAATGCTTTATTTATGTGATATACACATGTTGTTTAGATATAGAGCAATATTCAGCAGAGCTTAAAAACAGGGCCTAACGATATCATACATACAAATGCATGAGAAATTTCTACGGCTTGAGAAACATGTCAAACCAATCACTCGCTTCTTTAAGCATTGATAACGTCACTTCATGTCCAATTCCTGGTTTGACTATCACCTAAATTTCATTTGTAATAAAACACATAATTACATCATATACAAAACAATATTACATCATATAACATTATACTTTACTGTTGTTTACCAATATAGACAATCTACTCTATTTTTTACCTATAATATCAACATACAAGTATTCTTTGTTAGTAAAGTACGTTGTTATTCTGTGCAATTTGCCCATTTAGAAAAATCAAGAAACATTGGTCAAGACCCAAAACTCAAAACTCAAAAGTTGAAAGTCAATACCTTGAAATGAGTCAAAGAATGGGTGTTGAAAACCTTTTCTGTTGTTGATATGGTAGCATCAAGACCTTCTAGTAGGCAACGGGGATCGTCTTGACCTAATAGTTTTATCCACGTTATTATTTCATTAGAATATATATATATATATATATATATATATATATATATATATATATATATATATATATATAGGATCAAGAAGAGTAGGTAGATTGGTCATTTAACCGTTTATAATCAACAAAGGGCGTACTGCAACGACTGGGACTGTATGATGTGAGTCAAACTCAAATGCTAAACTAGGAGCTATTCTGTTCCAAACCTGGTCATAAAAGTAGCACAACATCGAAAGTTAGATTCCAATTCGATTCACATTTGCAACACATTTTATCAATCTTTATGAAACTTACGTTTTCTAAAACCTCCTTGTCAATGGTATACTTCCCTAAATCAATCCTTGCTTCTGAAGAAAAAGAATATAAAACTAACATCACATAATCATGCAAAAAAATTACAATTTAGAAAAAGTGAATGTGCTAACTATAGCTGTAAGATTCTAAGAACCATATATATATATATACATATATATATATATATATATATATATATATATATATATATATAAGATTTTTATTTAAATAGATATTAATTTCAACTAATACAATTTTTGAAAATATAATACATTATGTGATATAGGACTTTTTACAATATTTGAGTTAATTAAGGAAAATTAGTTAATTTTAAGAAAATATATTCATTATTATTATGAATGTTTTCACAATTACTTGTTAGTCATATAACTTTATAAAATATATTCATTAATATTTTATGTATTTACTTAAATAAATAAATAAATAAATAAATAAATAAATATATATATATATATATATATTTATTAAAAAATAAAAAATTTATAAAAAAAATGTTTCTCAACATACAAAAAATACAAATTCTAGATTAGTCGAGTGTTTGGGGAATCTTTTGAAATCGGATTATTAACAAAGTTTATTTCAAATTTGAACACACTATGCTCAACTCCGATGAGTTCAACTATATGGTTACTATAGAATCAATGATGAGAGAATGCCCATATTTCCATTCGTGCATCCCTCTACACACAACAACATCACATTATCTCTCTTATGATTTTATCCCAAAACCATGGGAATTGTTATCTTTATGTGACCATTCTGTCCAACCTAACGGGTCGTTGTGTACTCTATTTACATGGTGGTTACTTAAAAAACTACACTTGTGAAAAAATTATACCACTATGCCAAGTAACTTCCGCTTTATGCTTAGTTTTTTAACTACTCCTTTCGGCTTTCAACAATATAAAGTATTGTCTTATGTGATTATTAAGAATGTACAAAGCCATGATTTAAAGAATGATAAATCACATTTATAAGGATATAACTTCGAAATGACAAATCACAGTTAAGTTATATGAGTATAGTTTTTAAAATGCTTGCCACTTCCAAATAACCAACAACTATGTCTTTCAAATTTACAACACAAATCTTGAGACACATAGTTAAATTTGACCCTCCTCTTTATAATAAAAAAATACATAATCAAATTTCGAATAAGTTTTATTTACCGGAAGGTCTTTTCATGTGTTTAATACAAATAACAATGCCAAAGCTTTATTTATACACATGTTGTTTAGATATAGAACAATATTCAGCAGAGCTTAAAAATAGGGCCTAACATTATCATAAATACACATGCATGAGAAATTTCTACGGTTTGAGAAACTTGTCTAAACCAATCACTCGCTTCTTTAAGCATTGATAACGTCACTTCATGTTCAATTCCTGGTTCGACTATCACCTAAATTTCATTTGTAATAAGACATGGAATCACATCATATACAACACAATATTACATCATATAACATTATACTTTACTGTTGTTTATCAATATAGAATATCTATTCAATTTTTTACATATAATATCAACATACTAATATTCTTTGTTAGTAAAGTACATTGTTATTCCGTGCAATTTGCCCATTTAGAAAAATCAAGAAACATTTGTCAAGACCCAAAAGTCAAAAGCCAATACCTTGAAATGAGTCAAAGAATGGGCGTCGAAAGCCTTTTGTGTTGTTGATATGGTAGCATCAAGTCATTCTAGTGGGCAACGGGGATCGACTTCACCTGATACTTTTACCATAATATATATATATATATATATATATATATATATATATATATATATATATATATTGGATCAAGAAGAGTGGGTAGATTGGTCATTTCACCGTTTATAATCAACAAAGGGTGTACTGCAATGACTGGGACTGTATGATGTGAGTCAAACTCAGATGCCAAACCAGGAGTTATTCTGTTCCAAACTTGCTCAAAAAAGTAGCACAAGATCGAAAGTTAGACGCCAATTCGATGCACGTCTACAACAACATATCAATCTTTATGAAACTTACCTTTTCTACAACCTCTTTGTCAATTGTATCCTTCCCTAAATCAATCCTTGCTTCTGAAGAAAAAGAATATAAAAGTAACATCACAAAATCATGCAAAAGAAATTACAATTTAGAAAGAGTGAATATGCTAAGTATAACCATAAGATTCTAAAAACCATATATATATATATATATATATATATATATATATATATATATATATATATATATATATATATATATATATATATACATAAAGAGAATTTTAATAAATATTTGGCTTGGGTTGGTTGCCAATGAAGGTAGTCTAAAGGGAGTAGGTTTTGGTGGTGGGCCCACATGGATTTTTTATTAAATAATTTTCTAAACAAAAATTAAATAAAAAATAATTTTAAAAATAAAATTATAAGGGTAAAGTGGTCAATTTAAGTTAATAAAGATAAAATATACGCACGAAAATAAAGTTGTAGGGACGGTACGAGTGAAAAAAAAATTTAGGGACCAATCACACAAATCACCTTAAACCACACGGACCATTCGCTTGGTGTGTGATTAATCGCTAGGCGACCTTGAACCGATTATGATTAGGGTGCTTGGCGGAAATTAGTCAAAATCGGGCTCGGCAGTCATTGGCACTCTTTAGCGGTAATAGGTGGGAAATATTTAAAAAATTCCAAATTTTTAATTTTCAAACATTACTTTAAAATATTAAAATTTCATATTTTTAAGTTTTCAAATTTTAAAATATTATTCTAAAATATTCAAATTTTCAAATTTTAAAAATTTTAAATTTTCAAATACTTATTTTTTTTAGGATATATTAATTTTTTAAATAATTTAGGGTTCCCAATTAATCTCCTCCGACTAATCCCCACCTACTTCAATTAATCGTTTACGGTAAACCATCAGCTATCGTCGAACGATTTTCATAACTTTGCATTTAGGATATGTAGCGAGTAAATTATGAAAACCGATTGTGTCATTTAGGATACTCGTTATGTCGATTACAGAAATTGTCTGTTTCATTTAGGATATCCATTATGTAAATTACAAAAATCGTTTGTTTCGTTGAGGATATGCATTATGTACATTAAGAAAATTGTTTGTTTCATTTAGGATATGCATAGAGTAAAATACAAAAACCGTTTGTTTCATTTAGGATATAGATTATGTACATTATAAAATCGTTTGATTCATTTAGGATATGCATTATGTAAATTACGAAAATTGTTGTTTCATTTAGGATATGCATCGAGTAAATTACAAAAATCATTTGTTTCATTTAAGATATGCATCGAGTAAATTACAAAAATTGTTTGTTTCATTTAGGATATGTAATTATGTAAATTATGAAAATCATTTATATCATTCATGATATGTGTCGATTAAATTACCAAAATTGTTTGTTTCATTTAGAATATGTTGTTTTTGCATGTTTTTCTTTTCAGTCTTTCTTTTTTGAAATTGTATTAAAGTTCATATTTTTATTTTTTTTGTATAGAAATTGAAATTGTAACTGAACCTGCATTTGATGATATTACACCTTGAGATCCCGATTTCACAAGGGATGAAGGTGGGGCAATATATGTCAAATTGGGTTAATGTTATCTTAATGTAAGCACTTCACCTTTTTCAGCCCTAATTTCATGCATTAATGTTTGTGCTTATGCAAGTCACTCCTATAAAAAAACAAACAACATAGGTTTTATCTTTTCAACATCCATATACTAGTGATTTTGCTTTACTCATAAACCATATGCATTTGGCACCCACTCTTTATGTTTATATTGTTTGTAAATATACATAATCACATGAAACCTTTGCTTCTTTGTCCTCTTAATTTGAATGCAATTTCTATTAGAATTTAAAGAAGTCTATTTTCTTAATGCTGCAAACTTAGTAGAGTGCATAAAAAAACCTAGAGCAATTATTAGATATATTCATGGAATTTGGGAGGCTCGACACTTTAAGGGAATACAAGTGTTAAAGTGGTAGTCGATTGACTTATTGACTTATTTCTTGTGTATTTTACATTCCATTACGATATAGTCTGCTCCAATTTCCATGTTTTTTTCCAGATACATGATGATTAGTAAAATGACAAAATGAGTTACATGAAGATAGCTTGTATGGCTTTTATACCCTTCAAGTTGCACATGTGATTTATGGTTGTAAATTTGGAATGCCTAAATATCAATCTTTTTGTAAATATTTCGATGAAGGTATGGATGTCACATGAAGTTTTTTCTACATGCACCCTTCTAGTTTAATCAACTTTTTGTAACTTAAAAAGAAAAACTTATAATATTATATACATATTAATTAGAATTATGAAGAAAAAAAATATTTTGAAACCAAGTGGCAGCCTAGTCGAATAAAGTTTGAATTGAAGAAGAAAAAAATCATATATAAACTCCATGTATTAAAACACTAGAAGTCACTCGAAAACACCAAACACTACCGGAAAACACCAAATGTCAGACGCCACCGGAAATCACCAAGAGGCGACATGAAATTACAAGACACCACTGATCTGAAAACACCATGGTTCCATTTTAAGTTTATTTAATCATTTATATTCATTAATAATAAATTAATCATAAAAAGCTAAAAAAAGAAGATAAATACAAAGGACAATATGGTCTTTTCATCTCTATGAGAGATGAAAACGCAATAAAACCAAACCCTAGGGTCCGTCCGAGTGCAAATAATAACATAGGGACCAATCATGAATTTTTTGTAAACCATAAGGACCATTTCAGTAATATGTTCTTTAGGATATCCATTGCGTAATTACGAAAAACGTTTCTTTCATTTAGGACATGAATTATGTAAATTACGCAAAATAATTGTTTCATTTACGATATTCATCGAGTTAACTACTTAAATCGTTTGTGAACATCAATTACAAGTGGCAAAGGCACCAAATATCATTTAGGTTATGCGGTATGGTTTGAACGTCAATTACGTTATGCTTACTTGACGTCCCTTAACATACGTTATAATATGTGAAAATTGTTTTGCTTTCATGTGATGTTAAGCCATTTTACCCTCTCAACATTTTCCAACGTCGGCTAAGAAAAAGAAACAAACAACTTTTCTTTATTCTTTTTTCCTTTTAAGTGGTGTGATCATGTGGTGTATATTTCCTAGCAAAAATGGAGTCATGCGTAGAATAAAATGACAAAAGATCAGTCCTATAAGTTATATTAAATATATTCCTATTAGTTATTAGTTAAATGAGATATATTTGTAAATTTTTTTAGTGGACAAATTGACCATTCCATTCTAATTTTTTTAGGGTTTTGCTAACCTTTTTAATTTGAAAACTTTATCTCTTCAAAAAAATAAAATTAAATTAAAATTTCAACTGAATCCTCAAACAATGCATATGGAAGGATTGAAGGAAAAAATAAACGAAAAGAAATTTGTAAAATGCTAGGAATTAAATTAGACCTTTTCTATAAAGTCAATCTTTGTGCATTAAGTTAAAAATAAACACTCATATTGGATGAGCCTTCTTTCCTTGACTTTCACTGTTAAGTAATTCTTTTCCGATTAATCCCCTGATTAATCCCCGCCCAATCGATTAATCCCTTAACCCCAGTCCACCGACTAGCAAACGTCTAGCATTTTTTACAACCTTGATATATATATATATATATATATATATATATATATATATATATATATATATATATATATATATATATATATATATATATATTATTTTGAATAATTAGACAGTAACTTGCTTAGGACATCTTTAATGGTAGTTTATTCGGTATTTCTAAAAGTTTTTTAAAACTATATATAAATGGAGACAAGAGTTTTTTCTGGGAAAACTTTTCAACCAGTTTATAAAGGTCATTATTTTAATCATTTTATAGTTGTTTTCTATTTTAGAGCTTACATTTAATAATAAATTACGCCATACTAATATTTAAATATTTACATTTTAGTTACCATTTCATATATGTCATTATTAAACATCAAAAAATCATATTTGTCCAAATTAATGTCTAAATATCATATTTATCCTTCATAAATTTTTTAAATATCATATATGCCCTTCTTTAACACGAAAATGTCATATATGTCCTTCATGAGCTTATTTTTGTGTTTTGGTGGTATTCTTGAAGAAGAAGAAGAAGAAGGTGGTAGGAAGACTTTGGAGCTTGAAAGCAACTTGGATCTGGGATTCTCTCCTTGCTAGAAACCCCCGGGAGGTAAAAGCTCCATGCTTGATCATTTATCTTATAGATCTAGCCAATTATTCATTTAGGGCATTTTTGGTCCAAACTATGATGATTCTTAAGCATGGCATGCTCTTAATCAAATAACTCGTCCTTTCAGACCCAATGAGGGGTCTTGAGTCATAAAAATGTGGTCTTGATGCTTAGTTCTTCCCAACGCATGCTCTAAAAGGTCTTAAGGTGTTAAGAAGTTGGGATTTTATTTATTATCCACTAATAGGCATGCAAAGTCATAAAGTTGGAAACTTTATGACTCTTAGTGGTATTTTGGCAATGGATCTGAAATTTGGACGTGAAAGCTTAATGCATTAAGCTCTTATTGATGAAAAAGGATTTTGTGCATAGGTCGTGCGTAACCCAGAGTATGCCACACATATGGGGTCAACCGTCCGACTCCAGTCAAAGCTTAATTATGCTCAGCATAGGAGTTGAGTACGCCCCATGTACTTAGCTGAGTGGACCGAGTTGACTCGTTGACCTTGATATTTTACCAGAGTTTTGACCAAGTTGAGCTAAGGTTATTTTAGGTATTTTGAGATGATTAATTGAAATTACATCCTTGGTTTTGGTTAGGTGATCGTTGAGCCAATTCTGGGGACTGAGATTTATTCAGCTTGCATTCAGACTGAGAGTTGAATTTTCCTCACTGTACCCATGGGTCGTAGGCACCAATGTACGCCCATTAGATTATTTATGTTGGTCAGGATAATGATATGATAGTTTGTAGCTATTCAGTAGATTTGTATGATTATCTTTAATTGCTAGCTCACTATTTATGTTTATTTGTTAGATATGTCAACATGTTGTGTTGGGTTAGGCGGTTCTGTTTTGCACTATAGGATAAGA